AGGGGATTGTATTTGTTAAAAAAATTAGTCGGTACTTTGTCTTATAGTGGTACACTGCGCCAACAGACTTTTTCTAAATACCTGTTAACACAAAGGGAAATGCTAATTAAATAAAACGGCTACATGTCTAATCAGTATGTATTCATTGGTCCTGAATTCAAAGATGACTAACAAATCACGTGTCTTCATGTGGTTGGTGGTACTTTTGGGCAAGTTAAAATCGGTTTAATCTGCAGTGACCTTACTCATATGAATTGTAACATAATGTAAGCTGTACTCAAACACACACCCAGGTATATGTATACGTGTTTCCCATAGGAAAATATATTTCCGTAATGCTTACATAATCAAGAACCACTTACTGTATGCCTACACGCAAAATCGACCTGCGTATTAAACGACACTACAGTAGAATTTTATATATTAAGGGCAGACTCAAAATTCTGTTCCCTTATTGGCCGTGGTATTTTTCAACAGAAACATAAGCATTTGTTTGTTGATTCGATCCATAATGTTCTCAAATACACATCATCCCTGCAAGTTTCAGTAGTTTTTCCACAATGGTAAAACATACGATAAGCACCCAGAATTTAGCATTTGCTATTAAAATTTACAGACGAGAGACCGTAGGTTTCAGTTTCCCGCAAGTACTTGTCAATTAACTCTATTTTTTCATTTACCCGTCTCCATAATGTTACGTATGTAACGGCTCGTGAAGATCCGGGGTAGAATAGGTCTTCAGCAACCCATGCTTGCTGCAAGAGGCGACTATGCTTGTCGTAAGAGGCAACTAACGGGATCGGGTGTCAATTGCGTTGATCGATGTTGATGATGTCAATCACTCTGATTGTCTGGTCCAGACTCGATTATTTACATACCGCCGTCATATAGCTTGAATATTGCTGAGTGCGGCGTTAAAAAACAAACCAAACCAACCAAGCAACGTATGTACACACTTATTCTACAATCTCCTGTAGCACAGCGCCTACATGTAAGTTAAAATGAGTTAAATTTTGTGTCATGATACTTGAAAGAAATAAGTTTATGTATTTGCGAAATAAAAACATGAGTTTTAAGTAAAGGAACATGGGCGACATAGTGTAAATATTCAGTTTTTGAAGAATTTTCTTTTTCATTTTTTCTTTCTGGTATGTTGCCATGATAACAGCATGTTTAATTTTGTAAATACCTTAGACCGAGACTGGGCAAAGACCGTAGAGATTCTTGACTTTTGGGTTTCCAGAATTAAAATGGGACGTGTTAGTCGCTATCTTTAGCAAACACATTTTCTATATCATTTCTTAGAGTTGTCAATCTGACAAATGTCCCGTTAGGCAGGGTGCTACAACTATATTTTATGCATTCCATTGCACTCTTGGTCACAAGACCGAAATATAACTTAAGACCTATTTTATAACCCAGCCTTGCAGTAAAAGGCGACAGTGCTTGTCGTAAGAGGCGACTAACGGGATCGGGTGGTCAGGCTCGCTGACTTGGTTGATGCATGTCCCAATTGCGTGGATCGATGCTCATGATCTGCATAACTGGATTGTCTGATCCAGACTCGATTATTTACAGACCGCCGTCATATAGCTGGAATATTGCTGAGTTCGACGTTAAACAACAAACAAACAAACAATACGGACATGCATATATGTGTATTCAGTATTTCGGCCTTGTGATCAAGAGTGCAATTGAATGAACAAAATAGAGATGGTGCCACCCGACACCTCGTTTATGTAAGGGACCCGTGAAGATCCGGGGTAGAATAGGTCTTCAGCAACCCATGCTTGCCGTAAAAGACCCCTAATAGGTTGTCCTCAGATCTTTGTTCAGCGGTAGCGAGAACTAAGATCTGATTTGAATCAGATTGTTTCTTTCCTCGGCTTGTTATATTCAATTTGAGGACGTCATTTTCGAAAATTGCTAATTTTATTTCAGTTTCCACACGCTAGTCATATCATTCATATTTTTTAATGTTCACATTCGGCATTGGTTACATGTTTTGGGCAATTTGTCATGAAAGACTAATATTTTTATTCAGACCAGAAACAGGAGACTAACGATTTTCACCCATGTATTCTCTCCATGCTCAAATTAATAACCACAATCTTAAAAAGGTAAACACACAAGATAATAGCTGTAGTCACTTGGCAAATATACACCTCTTCCCATCTGCTGTTTACTGTAAAGATCCTAATATATACAAGGAATTATGGACTGTCATGTAAAGTTTCAGTATTTGTTGGGAGCTTTTGTAACGATTACCCACAGTTTGGTCCAGAACGGCGTTTAATACAGCGAACACGGTAACTGGGGTAGACGGAAACACTTAAACAATCTCTCTCTCTCTCTCTCTCTCTCTCTCTCTCTCTCTCTCTCTCTCTCTCTCTCTCTCTCTCACACACACACACACACACACACACACAAAATGACCCATCCACATCAGTGAAACTTCTTGGTTAATTGAATTACATTCCATGTGACGAAATATGGCTAGAAATTGTCTACGAGATGCCATATATCATACACATACACAAATAACACGTGTTCAAAACACAACAACCACAGTCAAGGTGGGCTTGGGACACAGGAATGAGCACTCCTTGTAAAGTTTCATAACCACGTGTCGACCTGTTGCTCAGCGTTGGGCATTTAGAAACATGCTGCAGTTAAACAGAAAAACCGATGTTGCGCTTCCTTCGTCGTGTTCGTCCCACGGAGACGACATTTCACCGAGACAAGTAATTTCACCAACATGAAGTCTGCCATTGTTTGTTTGTTTGTTGTTTCACGCCACACTCAGCAATATTCCAGCTACATGACGGTGGTCTGTAAATAATCGAGTCTGGACATCATGCCAATCGATCCGGGGTAGAATAGGTCTTCAGCAACCCATGATTACAGTAAAAGGCGTCTATGCTTGTCGTAAGAGGCGACTAACGGGATCGGGTGGTCAGGCTCGCTGACTTAGTTGATGCATGTCATAGTATCCCAATTGCGTGGATCGATGTTGATGATGTCAATCACTAGATTGTCTGGTCCAGACTCGACTTTTTTTCAGCTGTAATATTGCAGAGTGCGGCGTTAAACAACAAACAAACTGTTACAAGCATCGATGAGTGGGATGTAAATATAGATCGATGTTTTCAAACGCTAGGTTTTGTGTGAAAAGGCTTAATTTAAAGGAGGTATCAGTGAAAAAAAAGGATACCTTTTATTAAGCAATCGTGATGGAATACTTACTCTGCCTGGCCATGGTGCTCTATTTCTTTTGGCATATGAATCGGGGCTTCTTCTCGGATTGTTAAAATTAAAACAGGGGAATCAAAAGTTGAACTTTAGCTTCGGGTATATTGATAATTTGACATCAATAGAACTTCAATCTCATTAAAATCAGATCTTGCTGCCGCTAACAAAGATCTGAGGACATCCCATTACGGGTCACGTCAGACCGACTTTTCGCGAACTCTGACCGACCAATGGAATTACTGACAAGAAGTTGATATTAGCCAATCAGAAGGCAACTTTCTCGTGTTTTACGGCACTTATTTCAAATTGGCGACTACGCTTCGAAACAGATTTTGAAAAAAATTGAAACCTGAACCAAAGAACATTCTCGAATGGCTAATATATGGTCTAGATTGTATACGTAACTATCGTTCGGAATACCCCGTTTTAAAGTTTTTGAGGCTGCATCATTAGAAATCACATTCCGACTGTCACTTTCATGATCTGGTAAGCGACGCTCTGATTAGTCGGATGAAAGGTCGTTCTGACGTGGATCCTAATGGGATGTCCTCAGATCTTTGTTCAGCAGTAGCGGGAACTGAGATCTGATTTTAATGAGATTGATAGAATGTGTGAGGAAGCGCCAGGATTCACTGCACATAGTTGCGTCCCTTAGACACCCAAGAACTCCAAATTCGACCTGACTATGTTTCGTGGTTTGTAAGCACCATACTCGGGGTTTTCACGAAAGTCGTAAAATCTGGACCACCACCTCCCACATCAAGCCACCACACCGTGTTATAACGGAAATACTGTTCAAACAGTGTTAAAGAAAAACTATGACGAGACAAATGCTTGTCGGAGCGCAGTCGCATGATTGCATCACAATAGTTGAACAGTATATCGCCCACCAATGGTCTAGTTAGATCAAAGTAAGACTATGGTTTGATATTAATGCTTCTTGGGAATTGGTGATGACTTGATTTGAATTATAATCAACTGAGTCCGTAAGTAACGGAAACCAGTAACTAGGCTCTGGCTCTGTGATTAACACATTAATTAAAGACGTTGGATACCATTGTTCATCCGCATACCGGACGCGCATGTAACGGCAAGTATTTGCAATGTGGTTACGTCCCTTTGACTCGCGGCTAATTTGTACTTGAACTCATAGAAATGTAAATTTGGGCAAGATTTACCTCCCCTGATTCATTATTTTATGGGTATGCTGTGTTGATTGAAAATAATTTGAATATCCTCTGGTAACATATTGTTTTTATTTTATAATTTTATTTTACAATGAATAAACATATGAAATAAGCCAGTTTGAAAAATATCTTGATTTTGTAAAATGCTTTTTTGACTAATGAAACAATTTTTTTGGGAAAATGTGCTTTTTTTAAAGTCAAATGATGTGTGAAATTAAAAATGTTTTGACTTGAATTTTCATTTTTCTGTTTTGTGTCATATCAATACTGTAATATGTCTATTTTAAAACACTCATTTATTAATCAAACTTTAAAATGATTTTATCATCCGGTGCTTCTAGATGGCGCCACGTATTCAAACAATGCCGTTGTGACTTGATTTTTTTATTGCGTAATTGATTCAGGACATATTTTCCTACAAAATGATACCAAATATACCCATTTCTTGATTTGTTTTTGTTTTTGTATGCAACCTCTTTAACACCGAGGCTATCCAGTCGCTCCCATCGGTAAATATTTTATACACCCGCATTAAAAAACAGAACATTTCAGACATCTTGCTAGGCATGTATCATTGTTTTATTGAATACTTTTGATGTACAATAAGATGCCTGCTTGTACCAGGGCTTCTGTATGAAGAGACATAAAATCTGTATGTAGTTAGAGAAATAAAGTTTGTATGCTGTCAGAGTTTAAAAAAACCCATGAATGTCGTTAGAGAAATACATTATACATGTTTTACAGACATAAAGTCTTCCTTGAGAGGCATTTAGAAGCTGGACTACTTAGACATAAAGTCCGTATGCCGTATGATACACGCGGAGTGCCCGGATGGGTTCAGGAGACCCGTAACAGGACTCAACAACGGCAGTAACGACTGTCAACGTTTGGACCATCACAACCACAGTTGCAGGGTGAACAGGCCCGGACTCGTGTCTGGACATGATCGTGACAATTTCCCCATGGTGCCCAAGGGGTCCATGCCCCCAGTTCCTCCTTCCAGGGGGTCAGGTCCACCGTCTCCAGGGAGCCGCAGGGTACCCTGAAAGGAGGAGTTATGAACAATATGAGTTATGAATAATTATTTAGCTCACCTGAACTAGGTTATACAAGCTGAGATATAGACAGGCTGTCCACTCACCCTAATCTGACATGATTAGCCTTATATGTAATTTAGGGGCGGCCGGGTAGCCTAGTGGTTAAAGCGTTCGCTCGTTTTTTTCTTCCAACCGACCGCTTCCTCTGAAGTTGATCATGAGAAAAAAACATATAAATATTATGAAGGACCTTAACAGGAATACTTACTTATCACCCTTGACGAAAGCATTCTCCTGTATACTGACAGTGTCGGTGTTATCGCAGAATATTCGGGACAAACTTGTCTTGCGGATTTCAGCCAGTTGATCTGCAAAATACATTGACTTCCTGTAACACATTCATTGTAAAAATATCCTAATTATATTTTCTGAATTTTCTCAATGATATTCCATAAGTTCTTTGTTGTCCTTTTTTATCCTTGTACTGTCTGGCATTTCAAATGACGCCCTAACTTCAAATATTGTCGTGAAGCTGTGCGTTGTGCCCGGGAATTAATTTTAAATGCTGTTCCTAAATCATATTCCTTCAGTTCTCTGTAGTTTTCTTATATCTTTGTATACGTACTGGCATTTCATATGATGTCACCGGACATGACGTCATAATTAGAAATCGTGGCGCCACTTACTGCGTAGAGCTTAAAATAACACGAGAAACGGGCTAACTCGAACACGACATGGACAACAGTGACGAGTTATATCTCCACCCCGTGCCCCTCTGCCCCCTCTGTCCGTGCGTGCTTGCAGAATGAGGTTTACCTAAACTCACATTTAATTCCCAGGAGTTCCATGGTTTGGAGTTGATAGACGAATCATAACCGATTCCAATCTTGAACCAACGATGAGTCGGTCATGGTATGGCCACGACGTGATTATTTTATTTCAGCATTTTCGAGAACAGATACATTTTAAAATCCCACACACCCAAGAATAGCGCATGGTATGCCACATTGGAAGCATGCACACCAGCCGCATATTTTGTTACCCATAGAATTCGTGAAAGTACATTGTCAGGAAGTGCTTTGTACGTACTCTCGTTAGATAAGCACCTCAGTACCCATTTTAACATCACGTCCTGTCTCTGTTATGACAACATATGATGCACAAATACATACACTTCCGAGCAAAAAAAGTATACACTTGAAAATTGGCAAAAGAATTACAAACGTTATCAAAACGTTACGAGGCTAAAAACAGTCGCCGAAACACTGCAAACTTAAGGTCCAAAACAACTTTGATACTCGTATCAAATACATCACAATCTCGTTTGTTTCAAATTTAGCTACCATCAAACTTTAGGGTATACTTTCTTTTGGCCGTCAGTTTATATATTCCGGAAATAATACTAATAAATGTGTTAGAATCTAACCGGGGGAGAATTTAGCGTAGTCATTGTCTTCTTCAAACCAGAATCGGTCTCCTTTCCTGAGAGCCTCAAATTGTCTCCCGAGGAGGCAGGCTAATGTTGGTCCGACGACTCCACCTGTTACAGGTTCTTCAGTCAGTCCCCCTGTCCACAGGTCAATGTCGTCCACATGCCTGGAACGAGTGTGAGTGAGTGAGTGAGGTTTAACGCCGCTTTTAACAGTTTTCCAGTTATATCACGACGTGTCAGCTTAATGCGTGATTGATGGCATGAGCCTTCTGTTACGAATATGCACTCTGAATTTCAGATAATTTGTTTGTTTTTTGTTTATTGCTTTACGACACACTCAGCAATAATCCAGCTATATGACGACATTCTGTAAATAATTGAGTCTGGACCAGACAATCCAGTGATTGACATCATGATCAACGCAATTGGGATACGATGACATCAATCAACCAAGTCAGCGAGCCTGATCACCAAGCGATCCCGTAAGCCACCTCTTATGTCAAGCATGGTCGTCTTTTACGGCAAATTCCTGATATTCACGGGTCTTGAGTGCACGAGTGAATATTGGGTAAAGCCATTAGTATTGTATCACGGCCTGTAAATAATCGAATCTGAGTGAGTGCTTCGGGATTAACGTCGCTATAAACATAATTACAGTTATTTAACGGCGTGTCAGTATAAAGAAGGGGGTACGCTCATAGTGATGCAGGTAAACGTTTACCACTTCGCTGAACCCCACGGGCCAAGTATGGTGCTGACAAACCTAGAAACATAATCAGGGCGAACTGGGTTTCGAACCGACAATCATAGGTTCCTGGCTTGCTTAAGGGAGGCAACTCTGCATAGTAAATTGTGGCGACCAAGAATCTGAAGCAGGCTAAACGAGCATCTGTGTGACCTGTACCTTTGCTGATTAGTGGAACGTGCATCCATGTCTCGGATCAGTTCCTGTTCGCAGTGACTGGTTTGCCATAATTATGTACAGGTCCCTGTGATATAGCTTGGATATTGCGGAGTTAAAAAACGTTATTTCACTCCTGTATGGTGAAAGATTCGTTTGTTCGTTGTTTAACGACATACTGAGCAATATTCCAGCTATATGACGGCGGTCTGTAAATAATAGAGTCTGGACCAGACAATCCAGTGATTGACATCATGAGCATCGATCCACGTAATTGGTTGGATGGTTGGTTTGTTGTTTAACGCCGCACTCAGCAATATTCCAACTATATGACGGCGGTCTGTGAATAATCGAGTCTGGACCAGACAATCCAGTGATTGACATCATGAACATCGATCAACGCAATTGGGATCGATGACATGCATTAACCAAGTCAGCGAGCCTGACCACCCGATATCGTTAGTTGCCTCTTACGAGAAGCATAGTCGCCTTTTACGGCAAGCATGGGTTGCTGAAGACCTATTCTACCCCGGTTCTTCACAGGTTCTTACTCGTATGCTGCCGCAAGCTTGACAGTAGAGGCATTCGAATGGGTCGTCAACAAGCCGTCGAAATCAGTTGCACCAGGAAGCCCACAGAACGTCCTCCATTTAGTGTAGGCGGGTATGCCGTGATCACGTGCTCTCTGGATGTTGAGCGATGCAAGGTCCATGCTTCTGTTACCGTCAGGGAACAGGTGATCGGTCAACTCTATAGATACTTTACCGTCTACGGACTGTACACATTCTGTTACCAAGCCCCTCAGAAAGCCACCGACAGTTCTGTTCTCTTCGCTTATAATAAGATGGGTATTATCGAACACTTCCCTCAGTTGGTCTTGCCCAAGATTGTCATATGCTGGACTATAACTAGATAAGAATAGTCGGACCATGGAGTGACCAAACCTATAGGCGGCTGTTGCGAAAGCGTTCCTGATGCTGGCATCGGTTTCGTTATCGTAGACGTTGGAGTATCCTGACGTCTCGAGCGTCAGTTCACGCGCATTCATCTGATCTCCGATGATACTAGGCAGGTAGTCTCCGTAGGTTATTTTCTTTAAAAAGAATATGTACATGTTAATATTTGTTTGTTTGTTGTTTAAGGCCGCACTCAGCAATATCCAAGCTATATGACAGCGGTCTGTAAATAGTCGACTCTGGACCAGACAATCCAGTGATTGGTACCATCTGCATCGATCAACGCAATTGGGAGCAATGGCATGCTTCAACCAAGTCAGCGAGCCCGACCACCCGATCCCTTAGTGGCCTAGGCCTCTTACGACAAGCATAGTCGCCTTTTGTGGTAAGCATGGGTTGCTGAAGACCTATTCTAACCCGGAATTTCACGGGTTGACATGTTAATAAGTGAAGTCATCAGAGTAATCATATCCGAATAAAGAAATCTTCGGAACGTAGCAACACCCTTTGTCAATGCACAGACATAGTGAGTGTGAGTTTTTGAGAGTCGGTTTAATGCCACTTTGAACAGTATTTCAGTTATACCAAGTGTGTCAGTATAATGTGCAAGGAAGGTTCGTGTGTATCGCGAACACGTCTATGGTATTGACAAAACATTATAATATACACAGAAACTTAACGAGGTCAACAGGTATTCGAACCACGATCATAGGTTTCTGGCACGTCTAAGGGACGCAACTCTGCACATCCAATGCAAATACATGTACATGGGGGTAACCAGGTGAGGTGAAATGGGGTTTAACGTCGCGTTCAACACTTTTGCGCTTACATAGTGACTTTCTTGCATATATATATATATGTATATATATATATATATGTGTGTGTGTGTGTGTGTGTGTGTGTGTGTGTGTGTGTGTATGTGCGTGGCTGCTTGTAATAATTCTAACCCGGAATCCCCATCAGACAGATGTAATGTAGGGCCGTGTGCTTCCCTTTGTTTATTTTCATTTGAGGCTTCAACATGATAATACGGTGCAATGTTTGTGTGTGCATAATATTCGATTTTATTTCCAAAATACTAAATCCGCTAGAGGGGAATAATGACTTTAGTTGAACTTGGTTGTATCTGCGTTTATTATTATTATTATTATTATTATTATTATTATTATTATTATACAGCAAAGATTGTTTTGGTGATCCTGGCTCAGTCAGGCTGGTTAGGCTCATCATCAGCTCAGGGCCCTTGCTCCCTCTACACGTAGCCCAGACAGTGAATGGGACTTCTCCCAGGAAACGCTGCCTAGTCAAACCAACCCAAAAACTTTTCGAAGAATTAGAAAACTCCCCAACCCAACACTGCAGCCTTCTGAATTACCCAGATTGTCAGAAGGGTTGTATTCCTGGTAGCAAACCCGGGTACTCTCCCAATGTCAGTCAACAGATTGTGAGGTACCAAACCTAAGGCACCGAGAACAATAGGGAGTCGGACAACTTGGTACCTGGGATGCAAGCGTGACATTTCGAAAGAGAGGTCCGCATATTTGCCATGTTTTTTCTGAGTCTTGTCAATCACATTTGTGTCAAAAGGGACAGAGAATTCATATTTTAATGGATAGGTCTGAGACTGTATACGGGCCTATTCCAAAGAATTTTGTATTTCATCCCCAACACCAGATCCTGTGCTTTGTGTACAGTACTACCTTTATACAATAACCATCTTACCTGCATGAAGGCCCCAACGATCTTCCTGGCTTCCTGGAATATCCTCTCATCCCCCCAGTGACAGTTCAGGTCCTTCAAGGCGGTGGCCAAACGGTTGTGTTCCCTCATAAAAATGGTTTGTATACTCTGCAGCCCAGGGTTCTCATTCACTCGATGGTCACCTAGAATAATAATTATATAGTGACGACTAGTTGCGATCCATTCGACATTACGACAGTCAATGATCCACACTCCGGCGCAATGGTGACTGAGCAGAACACCACTGCCACGTGCAAATTTGCTGGTCGCATGGAACTCTGGGTAGGAGAGTGTGTGACGACGTAAATTGTAATAAACTGCGGTAAATTGTTATTCATACTGCGGTAAATTGTAATAACTTATTACAATTTACGTCGTAACAGAGTGTCAACCTCTGATTGATTATGGGTTTAAGTGACTGAGTGACTGAGTATTGGTTTATGCCACTTTTAGCAATATTCCAGCAATATCACGGCGGGGGACACCAGAAATTGCTTCACCCATTCCACTCATGAGAGAAATCGAACCCGGGCGTGACGAGCGAACGCTTTCACCACTATGCTACCCCACCGCCCCATATGGGTTAAGGTCGCTTGAATATTATTTTGCGGCGTAGCAAAATGGTTATAGCGGTCGCATGTCTCGTCGAACACCTGAGTTCGATTCCAATAATGACCACAATAAGTGAAGCCCATTCCAAACATAGTTGCATCCCTTATCGTTCCTGGAATCTACACTGGATTAGAATCCTAGATTGGTCCTGATACAGTAAACTACGGTTATAACGAACACGCTTATAACGAACTACGGTTATAACGAACTAAACATTGTAGTCCCTTTGAGTTCGTTATAACCGTAGTTTACTGTATTGCGTCTCAGTTTGTCAGCAACATCGCAGGAGTTTAAGGTTTTTATAGGTAGAATATGTCATCACCAACCCATGCTTGCCATAAAAGGCGACTATGCTTGTCTTAAGAGGCGATTCGGGATCGGGTGGTCAGGCTCGCTGACTTGGTTGATGCATGTCATCGTATCCAAATAGCGTAGTTCGATGCTCATGATATCAACCACTGGGTTATCTGGTCCAGATCAACAGACAAGCAAACAAGCAAACACACATCCCCTCACTACACTCACCGGCAAGAAAGCAGTAATCTGGCGAGGTCTGAGTCCTGCAAGCGTTTTCATTCTCCGTGTCTTCCGGCAGGAATTCGTCGTCTACAGTTCTCATTTTTCCTGACAGCAAAGAAAATCCTTACTTTCACGTGAACAAAAACGAATGACCAAATAAATATTATAAGGTACCGTTTTGTTACCCTTTGGACTAATAAAAAAATTAAGCAGCTTGACGGGACGTCGTTTCTATGTTGTTATCGACAGAATATTTTTTCTAGGCTTCAAAACATGAACATGTTTTTCCCCAGAAAGTTAGAACCAAACAATTTTATCACAACAGATTATTTAGCATGTCCAGTGAGCGATTTTACTTCTTTAAAGAAACGCTTGAGCAGATTGAAAAAGAGAATATCAAACGGCCTGTCCTTAAAAAACTCACCGTCAACAAATGTTCGTAGCTTGTTCTGTTCCACCTGTGACGACCCGTACACCTGTGAGGCGTCTATGTAGGCTGTGATCTGGTTCAGCTGCTCTGCAGGGGCTGGAAGTATGAGTGAGTGAGTGAGTGAGTTGGGTTTAACGCCGCTTTTAACAGTATTCCAGTTATATAACAGTGTGTCAGCTTAATGTGGGAGGAAAGCCCGAAGTGATGCAGGTCTCAGACGTTTACCACTTTAGTGAAACCCACGAGCACGGGTATGGTGCTGACAAACCAAGAAACATAATCGAGACAAACCGGGATTCGAACCCATAATCATAGGTTTCTGGCGTGCCCAAGGGAATCGCCTGAGACGACTGGGCCTCCCGTGACCCCTCTTGAAGTATGAAATGATATAAACGAGATTACAGGTACGCCATGTTTCATCAGGATCAAGTCATTGCAAAACCGTTAACTCAGGTATTCGCATCCTTCAGTTCAGGCATTGATACGATATAGCTCAGGTATTCGCATCCTTCAGTTCAGGTATTGTTAGGATACAGCCTCTGGTATTTGCATCCTTCAGTTTAGGTATTGTTAGGATATAGCTCAGGTATTCGCATCCTTCAGTTCAGGTATTGTTAGGATATAGCTCAGGAATTCGCATCCTTCATTTCAGGTATTGTTAGGATATAACTCAGGTATTCGCATCCTTCAGATCATGCATTGTTAGGATAAAGCTCAGGTATTAGCGACCTTCAGTTCAGGTATTCGTACGATATAGCTCAGGTATTCGCATCCTTCAGTTTAGGTATTGTTAGGATATAGCTCAGGTATTCGCATCCTTCAGTTCAGGTATTCGTACGATATAGCTCAGGTATTGGCATCCTTCAGTTTAGGTATTGTTAGGATATAGTTCAGGTATTCGCATCCTTCAGTTCAGGTATTCGTACGATATAGCTCAGGTATTCGCATCCTTCAGTTCAGGCATTGATACGATATAGCTCGGGTAATCGCATCCTTCAGTTTCGGTACCGTATTGATACGATATAGCTCACGTATTCGCATCCTTCAGTTCAGGCATTGATACGATATAGCTCGGGTATTCGCATCCTTCAGTTTCGCTACCGTATTGATACGATATCGCTCACGTATTCGCATCCTTCAGTTCAGGAATTGATACGATATAGCTCGGGTATTCGCATCCTTCAGTTTCGGTACCGTATTGATACGACATAGCTCACGTATTCGTATCCTTCAGTTCAGGCATTGATACGATATAGCTCGGGTATTCGCATCCTTCAGTTCAGGTTTTGTACCCTAAAACTCAGATATTCGCATCCTTCAGTTTACCTTTTGATAGCCTACAACTCGAATATTCTCACCAATCGACTCATTTTAACTCCGTTTTGTAGGCTATTCTCACTCATCAACTCATTATAACTCTGGAACCCGTGGAGATCTGGGGTAGAATAGGTCTTCAGCAACCCATCCTTGCCGTAAAAAGGCGACTATGCTTCTAGTAAGAGGCGACTAACGGGATCGGGTGGTCAGGCTCGCTGACTTGGTTGATGCATGTCATCGTATCCCAATTGGGTCGATCGACGCTGATGATATCAATCACTGGATTGTCTGGTCCAGACTCGATTGTTTACAATCCCGCCGTCATATAGTTGGAATATTGCTGAGTAGGGCCTTAAAAAACAAACAAACATTATTCCTCTGGAAAGCTTAAAACTCAATACACTTGCAATGTATACTGACACAAGTGCAACCGAACAAGCTGTAATTGAAATTCATACCTGATTTACAGTTGGCGTTCTCAATTTGCACGGAGCGCACAAAATTCATGCAAGTATAATTGAAGCGTCTGTCAGGCTGCACGATGTCAATAGCAAGGCACTGGGGTCTGTCGAAAACAAGTTCTTGTTGTTAGAGAGATACAGTTTTTAGAAATGCCTTTCCGGCGCATATATACATGTCCTTGTGAAATAGCAATTGGTATTATGAAATGAAATGGAGCTATATTATTGTGTCCTGTAAATATTGTTTTGTTTGATGGTTGTCTAACACCACACTCAGCAATATTCCAGACATGTGACGGCGGGACATAATCGTGTCTGGACCAGACAATCCAGTGATTGACATCATGAGCATCGATCCACGCAATCGGGATACGATGACATGCATCAAATCAAGTCAACGAGCCTGACCACCCGATCCCGTTAGTCGCCTCTTACGACAAGCATAGTCTCCTTTTACGGAAAAGCATGGGTTGCTGAAGACCTATTCTATCCCGGATCTTCACGGGCCGCCCTGTAAATAGGATAGCATTGGTAAAACAAGACTATAGGTTAATAGCAGCGTGATGTAACACAATCAACTTTGTCACTGTGTTTGACAACCTTACGACAAGCAATAAAGTACTAGGGGCCTTGTTTGAACCTTACGCTACGGCATCCGACGTCCTGTACACACACGTATTGAATATTGTAAGTACAGTAAAATACGTTTATAACGAACACGCTTATAACAAACAGTCGGATATTCCGAACTTAATTTTTGGTTCCCGCCATTTGCTGTATAGATGTTGTATGTATGCTTATAACGAACTATGGTTATAACGAACTTAAATTAGTGGTCCATTTGTGTTCGTTCTAACTGTAGTTTACTGTAAAACACTTCCCTGAGTACTATGTCAAAGTTCAAGAAAGAAAATAAGTTACCTTTTGTCTAATTCGTGCTGTGGTACGCCTCCACTTTCAGAAAGGCCTTCACAACAAGCAACCGTTGAGGAATGGCTACCTGAAAAACCAAACGTTATAAATAGCAAAACAATTTATTCAATTGAAAGTTTGATTTGACCCAACACTTTCCAACGCAATCAAAACATGACAGGGCCGAAAGCAGTCGCGGAAACACTATAAACATAATGTCCAAAACACACAATGATTCTCATTTCAAATTTATCTGATTCACCATAGTTGGTTGGTTGGTTTGTTGTTTAACGCCGCACTCAGCAATATTCCAGCTATATGCCGGCGGTCTGTAAATAATCGAGTCTGGACCAGACAATCCAGAGATTAATATCATAAGCATCGATCCACGCAATTGGGATCGATGACATGCATCAACCAAGTCAGCGATCCTGACCACCCGATCCCGTTAGTCGCCTTTTACGACAAGCATAGTCACCTTTTATGGCAAGCATGGGTGGCTGAAGACCTATTCTACACCCCGGATCTTAACGGGTCGTTGAAACATGTACTTCCAACTTACATCCAGGATGCCTTATCTGTTGAACGGGAGTACTGGTGATGTCGTGGTCCAGGAACTGACCCCACTGCATCAACATGACGGTGAAGTTGGCGCTGAGGTCGGCGTCTGTTGAAGGGATGTGGACGGTAGTGCTGACGGTCCGAGGACTGGGTAACAGATTAGGCGCTCCCGACACGGCAAACTTTCTCGGGCTCGACACATCTATACTCAAAGTAAATTGTAAATTCCCCTTTAATTTCACAGAGTACACAGAAACAAAACTTGAAAACAAAACTAACAATCCTGAAATACTCAATTCCCCAGCCAATATGACATGTCCGGTTGCTTTGAAAACTCGAAATCCCAAACTAACAAACGGCACCAGTTAACCACTAGAACTATCTATGAGCCACGTTTGGTTAAGATATCTCTCGTGGATTTTGAGTTCTGCTCCGGAAACGAAACGTGACGGACGGACAGCACCCATACCAATACCCTCTTCCACTTCGGGGCGGGGTATAAAATATCCGACACGAACTATTTATAGTCTGTGCATGGTCACTTTCCTTCCACGTTAACTGACATGCCATGATGTGACTGAAATACAGCATCAAGTGGCGTTAAAATCTACAAACACAAGCATTCACTTGTTCAGGAACCCACACTCACATATGCTGGGGTCTGTGGTTCGTTTCAAAACTGTATCAATAGGCACACGCCATTACAGCCGGCGAGGGCGGTGAGATTAAGGGGTTGTGACAGCGTGTGAGGAGAAAGGCACTGGTGTAGCTATACGACGGCGGTCTATATATATATACAATCGAGTCTGTACCAGATAATCCAGAGATTGAAATAATGAGCAACGATCTACGCAATTGGGATACGATGACATGCATCAATCGAACCTCACTACCCGCATCACGGCGGGGTATACCACATTGTACCAATCGAACCCAGACCGCGGCTAGACCATCGAACGCATTAACTACTGGCCTATCCCAACCCCCACCACCACCCCCACCCCCACCCACCCAGGGGGCGAGGGAGATGAAAGAGACGTACTGTCCTCATATACCGGAGTCATCCATCGCCTCATTGGAATAAACGACCTCCCCCACGATGTGTGTTCGAGGTTGTTGCAATGGCCATCGGCTGTCCGGAAGGCGGATTTCGTGTTGCATGTGTATTCCACGTCACATATGACCTCGGGTCCAAATCCTTCCTCCAAAATTGACGTTGGTACGTCACCTAATTGCCGAACTCTGTAATTAAAAGCGACAAAACCCTTGCCTTGTCATGATAAACATCTTCCGAAAGCAGAGGCCATTGTACGATTCCGATTACGTTAATCACAAACACATGCAAAGGCAGGCCAATTGACCATTTTATAAACTCGGGAACATATGAGGAACAATTAGGAAGCACGATTGGGATTCTGTATGAAAGTGTATAACTTGAAGTGATTCCGTGGTTTTAGAGTGGCTAATTAAGCAATGTTTTTTTCATAAACAGTCCATAAAAATTAAATAATACATAAGACGCTAGCATAATACTGTATCCGGATTGGCTGACAATAAATTGGGCGGCGTGTGTGTTACATTACAGCGCTTATCGATGATATTAGTTCGTATCGTTACCTATAGCTTATTTTATGTTCACGATTAGATAACCAGGATGTGAAATTATTATGGTTGTTATTATGGCCATATTTGCATATCGGCTGAATTTGTGACAAGACTACTGCATAGGGAATAAAATCCGCAAATCTGAAAATACATAATGATAATGTCCTTAGCGCATAGGACAAATAAACTCACAGTTTTAAAATAAGCGTCGATATGATGACGTTGAGCCGATGTTCCTCTCCCCGGCGAGTGCTGTCGAGGGAGGTGTAGGTGATGGAGCTGTGCTGTTGTATAGTAGAGCCTGCTGCGTTCGCAGCTTCATCTGCACCACACATTGATTTTATTATCGATCTTACATGAACGCCCACATGTAGTATTAGGATCGATCTCACCAGTTGTGAAATCTCGAGGCAATCTTCGTTGAAGGAGCTACGTGTCTCGTTGATACAAATAGTGATAAAATAAACGTTCCACGTTACCCTTGTTAAGAAATATTATTGATTTTATAGAAACAAATTTTTGATAATTGTAAATCGTCCTGTTGTTTACATTTATTATTTATTTGAATCAGTAGGTAGTTATCAAACTGAAAGCTACGTTAATACAAATAAAACATGTGCTATTTTCTCAAACGTGAACACACACACTCATTTCTAAGCCACTGGCTCGAGACATGTCAGAAGAAAAATCTGTATTGTAAGGAAACTATTTGAAGCCACCATCCGTACCTAAACTGAGGAGCAAAAGAGTGAGTGAGTGAGTGAGTTGGGTTTAACGCCGCTTTTAACAGTATTCCATTTATATCGCGGCGTGTCAGCTTAATGTGGGAGGAATGCCCAAAGTGATGCAGGTCTCAGACGTTTCCCACTTCGGTGAAACCCACGAGCACGGGTATGGTGCTGACAAACCTAGAAACATTATCGGGGCGAACCGGGATTCGAACCCACAATCATAGGTTTCTGGCGCGCCAAAGGGACGCAACTCTGGACAGCGAATCGCGGCGCCTTAGACGACTGGGCCACCCGTGCCCCCGAGGAGCGAAACAAGAAAAGAAACTCAGTTTTTTTCATCATATGGTTGATTTCCAATCGAATACAGCTGAAATTAGCGATATTATATCTATCTGAACGACTCTTAGTAAATTTCGTAAACACTCAAAAACTACTACATTGTCTTATTTGTTAAAAAATAAATTACTTAAACACATAAAAATATTAATCTATTCGCATTATAAAATGACAACTGCTGATGGGTATCATAGAATTTCATCTTTATAAATCAATAAATTTGCCTTTTTCGACACAAATTTACAACTGTTTAAACATGATAGTGGTCACGTTACTGCAAATTCTCACCTGACCCAAATCATCATTGAACCAATTTATATTTACACAAAATTAATCAATTACATAAAATGCCAACTCGGTATACTTCATTTTATATCCGATATTAATCTTGAAGGCAGTAAGACCAAGGAACATCAGCTGTGTATTATTTAAACCACTGTGATCATATATACCGTATTCGACGTAATAAGCGCCCCGCTCTAATAAGCGCCCACGGCGATATTTGCTAATATTTGCACCCCTTCCGATCATTCAATGTACACAAGACTTATTTATTCGCGTATAATACGTGTGCTATATGCATCCTTGATAATAGAAATTAAATTCTGGAAAAATATATCTGTCGCATATAAACATTTCAGGCTGTCAGCTTAAACCACGAAATTTACGATCTTTCAACTCTGTTGTTTTTCACCAAAATAATATTCTAATAAGAGCCCCCTATTTCTAATTTTAAGAGCGCCCTGGGCGCTTATTATGTCGAATACGGTAACTAAAATATATCTATATTTACCTAGATCGTCGCAGCTGTCACGTAAATCAGTTTCATTCTTTAATATTGTCAGAGCTTCTAATCTGATTGCGTCCAATTGACTATCCGTCAGGTTGAAGTATGAAGCCAAATCACCGCCTATTTTATGATCAGCCATGGCAACCATCAGATGGCAACCAAACAGTAGTAGCAGTAACATCGTGACCTGGCGTAAACGACATACAGAAAAAAGAAAAGTATTATTTACCTATACAGTAAACTACGTTTATGACGAACTCGCTTATAACGAACTGACGTATTTGACGAACTTATTTTTTGGCCTCGGCCATTTGCTGTCTATATGCTGTACATATGCATATAACGAACTTCGGTTATAACGAACTAAAATAAGTAGCCCATGAGTTCGTTATAACCGTAGTTTACTGAATATGGAATTTTAAAAAATCGTATTTAACTCATTCTGAGTGAGTGAGTGAGTCAGGTTTAACGCCGCTTTTAACAGTATTCCAGCTATATCACGGCTTGTCAGCTAAATGTGGGAGGAAAGCCCGAAGTTATCCAGGTTTCAGACGTTTACCACTTCGGTGAAACCCACGAGCACGGGTCTGGTGCAGACAAACCTAGAAACATTATCGGGGCGAACCGGGATTCGAACCCACATTTATAGGTTTCTGGTTTGCCCAAGGGACGCAACTCTAGACAGCGAATCGCGGCGCCTCAGACGACTGGGCCACCCGTGCCCACACTTATGTTGAAGTTGCATATATATGTATAATGTATTCCAGGCAACATTTCCACAGATATAATGTTTGTTTGTGTTCCAGCTGCATGAGTTATTGAATATGTGCCAAAACAGTTTCATCAAATCGTTTGTTCATGTTTACGACCACTAACAAGCGAAAAGTGTCAAAATTAGCCAGGCCTCACATTGTGACCATTTGTCGCGGTTACATCCTGATCGGTTGAACATCTCGAATGAAGATGATCGGATCTGTCGAAAACGCCTCGGCGCATTCCTTCCCATTCGGTCGAATCGGTGACACCCGTGAAGATCCGGGGTAGAATAGGTCTTCAGCAACCCATGCTTGCCGTAAAAGGCGACTGTGCTTGTCGGAAGAAGCGACTAACGGGATCGGGTTGTCAGGCTCGCTGACTTGCATTTGGTTGATGCATGTCATCGATCCCAATTGCTTGGATCGATGCTCATGATATCAATCACTGGATTGTCTGGTCCAGATTTGATTATTTACAGACCGCCGTGATAAAGCTGGAATATTGCTGAGTGCGGCGTTATGGCAAGCCGTTTTCACATTTATTACGGAATTACAGATCTCTTTAATTGTTTTAAAGGTATCTTGAAATGAATTAAAGATATTTTGAATAGAATTGAAGATATCTTAAATGCAGATAATTGTAGATATCTGCAATAAAATTTAAGATATCTTCAATTGTTTTACAGATATCTTGAAATGAATTGAAGATATCTTGAAAAGAATTGCTGACATCTTAAATTCGATTACTGATATCAAAATTTGATTTAAAGATATCAAAATGTCATGTTTTGTAATTATTGATATCTTCAATTGTTGCCATACATTAATAATGTTACTTTAATTTGATAACTAATATCTATAATTGATATAAAGATATCATCAAAATTATTAATGATATCTTTAATTGGATTTTTGATATCAGTAACGGTCAGAATTAATGATATCTTGAATTGAATTAAAGATATCTCTAATTGAATTAAAGATATATGTAATGCATTTGTTGATATGTATAACTTATTTCAAGATATCTTGAATTGAATTTAAGATATCTTGAATTTATTTCTACTATATTTATGTACTGTTGGATGGCAATTGTTTAATGATATCTTAAATACATTTAGAGATATCACAAACTAATTTGTTTATATCACCGTAACATTTTAAGATATCAGTTATTTTATTATGGATATCAGAAATGAATTTAAGATATCTTAAATTATTTTTTGATATCTTAAAAACATTATTGATATCTTTAAATAAAATACCGATATCTTTAAAACAATTGAAGACATCTGTAATTCTGTAATAAATGTGAAAAGGGCTTGCCATCCGGCGTTGCTGTAATCGGGGTTTAGAATAAAGGAGGACACTTTAAATACCAGAAGTGGTTCGACAACAAGAACCAGTTCCCACGGTAGTCTCCAGTCATTGTTGGAACTGCTACAAGCGGCGACGCAACACGCTACCTTCGAGCATGATGAGCTTCATGAGGACGATATCTAATCGTTTGACTCGTAAATCGTACTCCTGTGGTCTCATGAATGTGTGCAGACATTTAATTCTCTGTTTGAGCTCGATGCCGTTGACGTGGGACGCCCTGAACGGGATCGATCAACAGTTTGAATTCGTTTTGTACTTGTTCCATGGTCTGCTTGCCACACGCTGTGAAACATGAAACGTAGTAGCCACTGCAAGCTGACTCCTGCCAGTTGCCAGCATGACAACAGCCCGTAGACGCCCCGCGCGTTGCAGACGCCACATCACAAGTTATTACACAAAGTAGAAAAATCAATAATTCATACAGATTCAGGAACTGGGTATTATAGATCCATGGTATTACGATTATATACATGTAAGGTTCATTCATTTTGTACTTGTAAAATATCCACACGCCTTTGCGTGCGGCAATTCACATTCATGCGCAAATGTCACTGTCTGTAAGATATTGTTTTCATAAATTTTGTTACAATGTATATACGAAATGTAATCCAATGCTTTGTGAAGGGAAAATCTGAAATCAAGGATGTGATTCTACATCTCATTGTGGTCTCAATAGCATCATAGAATCGTCCATGTTACAATTATAGTAAAAACAGTAATTTGAGAGGTTTCTGAAATATTTCTGATTGTGGCCGTTGAATGAATGAACCCAGGCTCAAAATATGCAATCCATTTAGTTTTTGTTGTGTTTGTAACTGAAAATAATTCTCAGTTTTCTGCTGTTCGTGATCCAATGTGAGGTGCGGTCTCCCCAAATCCCACCATATATTTAGAAATGCAAAACAGTTTATCGTCACTAATATATTTAATATTAATATGCTGAAGCGAAACCTTATACATCACATTAGTAGATGTCATAAATATTATTCAAATAATTTTCAAAACATTTATTTCATGATCACTTGCCTCTGCTTTTCGATATGCTCTTTCTACCTGTATTAGCAGTGTATGGTTTAATTGTATCCCGCACGACCAGGTGTAGACGAAAACTACATTAGATGAAAGTGCTTTATATTTATTTTGATAAAGCGTTTAGAAAGTACAAAATGAATACCGCTTTATAGACTTATACTGTTCGGAATTTATTCTTTAGGAGTGAGTGAGTGAGTTGAGTTTAACGCCGCTTTTAACAGTATTCCAGTTATATCGCGGCGTGTCAGCATAATGTGGGAGGAAAGCCCGAAGTGATGCAGGTCTCAGACGTGTCAATAGCAATATTCCCCATTTATTTAGGGACTGAGTGAAAACTAAAAAAGCACTAGAAGTGCGGGTGATTTTGTTCTTGTTATCTGTTTGTCAATTATATACATAGTTGCATGCGACACATATAATTCTCTGTGGTGTTTATCCCAGTTCTGGTCGCTACAGACGTGGGACTGGAGACTGCTACCTCCGGGCGTCCGATGCCAATGTTTCTATTTACGGCGTTGAGTTGTTGCATGAGGTTTGTGATCCACGGAAGAAACAGTGGTTAATAAATGTTTGAATGCAATAGGCATTTTATTAGGAGGTATCACTGCCCACAGTTCCCCAAAATAGCACGTGGATATTGCAAACAGGTCTTTCACCATGACATGTTTATGCAAACATGCATCACAGTTTAAAATGGTGCGTTTTGACACGCTGCTTCCTCTCCATGTATATGAAGGAGCATTGGCCCATGGGCCTGCCCATGGGCGAGAATATTTGCCTTTGCTCAAAACGCATGTTTTTTCTTTGGCAAATACATAAAGGTTTGTCTACAAGCACCGTGACACATGATTGAACCCATTTTAACTTAATTCAACTAATGTATGGCATTATTAAAATATTTCGCCCATGAGGGAGAATTTTTTCACTCACTCTCTAAATGGATTGGATTATCATGCCCAGTGACCGTTGCCGTTTCGAGTAAAGAATGTGACATTTGAATTCGCAAGAAATCTACAACTTCAAATGGAGACGATACAATTTGATAGATTTGCTAATAAAAGGTATATCATAACGTTACAGGCTGTAATGCAGTTCAAATGGACCACTCTCGAATTTTGCTCACAGATCAATTGACAGCTGTACGACCTGTTTTGTGAAATAGAAATCTGATGGAGAAATGCCTGCGATGTCAGGGAAATGTCATGTTAAACAGGAAGTAAAGTAAATAAATGCGACAAAAAACATTTCAATAAAGTCCTGTGAGATTGGGTGTGTGTTCGTACTTGCAAGAGACCTTATAGTACTCTCGCAAAAAGAAAAAAAACACGTCCCATTTTAATTCTGGAAATCCAATAGTCCAGAAACTCTTCATGCTATTGTGGCCAGTCTCCATCAAAGGTATTTACAAAATTGAACATGCTGTTCTCATGGGTACATAAAAATTCTTTATTTGAAAACTGAAACGTTGAACTATGTCGCCCATGGGCGAGAATATTTTCCTTTGCTCCAAACTCGTGTTTTTCGTTGACAAATACATAAATGTTTGACAATAAGCATGTTTAATGGCGATTTATATTTACTCACACGCAAAAGAAACGCAAGTGGTTTTAAACAAATAGGTAACAAACACGGAACCATAAATTGATACGAGTTTTAGCATGTAGTGAAGCCTGATGGTGTTATCAATATTTTTGGTTGCATTTTGGAAGCCCTGAGTAAAAACGCGACATAAAAAACGAATCACCAAAACGCACCATTTCAATGAAAATGCGGGTATCATGCACCCATTCGATTTCTCGCGAAATCGAAAATGTACGAACTGTCACGAACTTTAGTGGGTATAAAACTGTGGCCAATTCTTGTACCAAGCACTCCTTGGTCAACAATGCCACGCCTTACTCCAATTCAGAGAAACCAGGCTATCGGACGTTTGGAAGTTGGGGAGTCTGACCAAGATGTTGCCCGTCATTCCAACGTTAACATAATAACAATTTACCGTCTCCTGCATCGATACAATGATACACAGACTACAGATGACCTTCCTCGGAGCGGTCGTCCTAGGGTCACCACATGTACACCTCGACAAGATCAGCAGATTACCCGTCAACACCAGCTACATCCGTTCCTAACTGCAAGTGAAAGTGCTCGACAGACCATAGGAAGACATAATCGACACATTAGCCGGGACACTGTGATCCGACGTCTCCGTTCCAACAACGTCAGATGTCGCCGACCAGCACGTCGTCCTGTTCTCCAACCACGGCATCGACAAGCACGACTTCAGTGGGCAGAGGGTCATCACAATTGGCGTCATCGTGAGTGGAGGCGTGTCATCTTCATCGCTTTTGTGTCTCCCATGCAGACGGAAGAGTCAGAATTTGGCGGCGTCGAGGTGATCGTTTCGCTGACAGAAACGTTGTGGAAAGGGATCCATGGGGTGGACCTAGCGTCATGATATGGGCAGGGATTGGACTTAATGCGTGACTTGGACCCATGTGCTTTCTGAATGTTGGTCAAGGTCGGGGACACGGCGTCACTGCTCAGTGGTATATCGACCAAGTGATAAGACCCCATGTTGTTCCATTTTTTGCACAACATCAACAACACATTTTCAAGCAGGACATCGCCCGTCCCCATGTTGCCAGAGCTACCATGGCCTTTCTGCAACAAATCGACATCCGTGTTCTACCGTAGCCAGCCCTCAGCCCTGATCTGAACCTCATCGAACACTTGTGGGATGAGGTTCAAAGGCGTCTGCACAATGTGCGCCCAGTCCCTACAACTGTCGATGAACTACACACAGCTGCTCTGGGTGTGTGCAGGAGGATCTCTAGGGCCTTCACAAATCGTCTGATCCACTCAATGTACAGGAGATGTGTGGCAGTGATCAATGCTAATGGTGGTCACACAAGGTTTTGACTGATATTTTGGGTATTGACCCGAAACTGAGTAAGCCCTTAACATTTGAAAAAACAACAATTATGTCATCTGCCTTTAATCCATTAAACTGTCTTCAGTCAATTTGTTCACAATCTTGCCCTATTGGTAGTTTTATGTCTTTACTGTTGCAAATAAATAACATGTATACTGCATACTCGACTTGCGTTTCTTTTGCGTGTGAGTATAGATTAAACATCTCCATCTCCATAACCTGTGTATAATCTCACATCTACTGCAAGTACCGTACTGTATTACTTTGAGGAGACATTGATTATCATTGTTGAGTTGGCATTGTATGCTGTCGGAATGACTTTACACAAATCCCTGCGTCAATGGACCCGTGAAGATTCATGGTAGAACAGGCCTTCAGCAACCCATCCTTGCCGTAAAAGGCGACTATGCTTGTCGTAAGAGGCGACTAACGGGATCGGGTGGTCAGGCTCGCTGACTTGGTTGATGCAAGTCACCGTATTGCTCATGATGACAATCACTGGATTGTCTGGTCCAGACTCGATTATTTACAGACCGCCGTCATATAGCTTGAATATTGCTGAATGTGCCGTTAAACAACTAACATACACACAAATCTTTGAGGAATTCATAACAAGCACTATGTTCAATAATTTTGTATTAAAATCCAATTCAATTTGTTTTCACCATTTTCCCAATACCACTTCATGCATGTTTATGTTTCTTCATCTTATTGCACGTGTTCCCAAGTATTATAAAACACTTTAATGTGTCTCCTTCCTAATCCAACGTCATACCATTTCTGGTCTTTACCATCATCTAATACACACGAGATGATACCAAGACATATTATGTTCGGTTTTATGGTATATGCGATCTTAAAATTGATTTTATTTGTCATTTAATCTTATGTCTAGTGCATATTTTCAGAATATTAGGAATGTAACATCCAGTTGCTTTTCAAGTTGACGTACTTACTGTTTTTTATCAAATAAGAGGACTGTATACGACATACGTTAGACTGTTAACGAACTTACAATTTATATTTTGAAAAAGCCCTTCATGCGCCAGGGATATGTTAGCTGTAGCAGACAGACTGAAGCCGTTGTTTCGCGCGTCACTGGGTTATTTAGTACGGCATTGACCTTGTTGATTGTTACTTTACTTTGAGGATTTTAGTCATACTTATCGCAGTATTATATTGTTGAATATACATACAACCCAATTCCTTGAGCAAGACTATACATTTGTAGATATTAGGATATATTTGGCCAGATACGCAGGTTTCGTTGTATTATTCTGCAATCCATCTTAGTATTACCTGCTGTCCCGACACGGCCCTAGTATCAGGCAACATTTTAGGCAAGTCTGTCAGGAAAATTTAATATCGTGCGATTTTTCATGTATGTGTTCCTCTATGAATGAAGGTGGGAGCAATGTGATGACATACAAGACAATTGTCTCCATACAATTTTATTTTGATAAAGTTCCGAGCAAGACAATGATATCCCAAATGTACATGGTAATAATATTGTAATGATATTACTGTTATTATTGTCATTTTATATAATGTTTTTTTTGCTCGCGGAAAGAATATGTTCGTGATTCATATATTATTTACATCACAACAGCAGATGTTCTCTCCTAAACTATTACGTAGAATTCTAAGAGTTGATACATCACTCCATGATATTATGGGTATTAACGCTGATGTTATTATTCTAGTATATTTGACAGTTAAAAGAGCCATATCCAAATGAAATAAAAAAAGTGATTCAGGCGACACAATATATGACTTTTATCAAGTTGTTATTTAGAACGACACAATATATGTGAAAGTATCAAACATATATCTTACCTGTCTTCCCTGCCACAGATCAGCTGTCATGTGTGGCAGTTGTCATGTGTGGTAAAATAAAACCTTTCAACGCCCACGATTTTCAAACATTTCTGACGGATATAATTTTTGTGCCGATGATGCACATCATTGACTAGTTTCTGGACATATGGGCATTGATCACTAAAACCCCTGCTGAGGAAGCTGTACGTAGATATACTGTCATCTGTTAACAGATGAATTCGATTGAAAATATACAATTCAAAAGAAGTTGAGGAACACCCGACTCATTCACATCACAGGTATAGTCAATCTGGCATCGTGTGTCCTCGGATAGTGCTTAACTTCTTTTGAGCAAATTCTTTTATAGGCATTTAGAAGTTGGGAGAACATGAACACATAACACTTTTTATGGATAGTAACTTCATGAAGGAGCTAGAAATGGCTCTGAAACATTGTGACAAAGAATGAAAGAAGTTGGTATCCATGAAAGTAAAAACTGTTTGATACACGCCTACTCAAATGAAATACCTCCAATCGCGACCGCGACGCGAGATTTTCCGCTTGTGATCACCATTCAATTTGACCTTGGCCTGATCGTGTTGGTGATCACAATACTATGTCATTTGTCATTCACTGGGCCGCGCTCCAGTACTACAACAAAGGTGAGGTGGAATGGGGTTTAACGTCGCGTCCAAGATTATTGCACTTATATAGCGACGTGCATGTACGTGTGTGTGTTTGTGTGGCTGCTTGTACTAGTCCGGACTGATGCCGATTTATAGTGCTAGCTCACTGAGATGCCATGCCGCAGTTTAACATGAATATCCCACTCAGACACAGTATACTGACTCCGAGCCGACCAGTCCTTGTTTTAGCCCCTTAATGCCGAGCGCCAGACAGGGTAACAACAGTCGTAGTGCTACGATCGCTTCGCGCAACGATGGTTAATTTGTAAAGCATGTTAGATAAGAAACAGTTTTAGTTTCGCAGACAAACTGATTTTATGTCTACAAATGTCCCCAGTGATCGAAATCCCGTTCATCCGACAGAACCTTTCTAAATCGATATAATCAGGAATAATCAGCAAGAGATCCAACAATTCTATACATGGAACGTTTAAAAATTTCTGGTACAATTTATTTTCTTCGATAAAGTCCCACTTCGGCGCCGATCTTGCATGGAATTGTTATACTGATATCTGTTCCTAGAGACGAAAAATGGTGCTCTGGTCAGCACTGAGATTAAGTGTGTAGCGATCAGAACTAGGATAAACAGTCCACAATTTCGTAAAACCCAAATTTACATGCACTGCGGTAATGCTTTTGGTCAACTCAAAAACGCTTCGCGATGTATATGCGGAATATGATTAAGTTTATATTATTTGGGGCAACCATTCTGAGATATTTCTCTGTTCCATTCCGAAAAAAATGAAAACATATGCATCTTGACCATTTGTTATTCATTTTGTACTTGTCAAATATTCACACGCCTTTGCGTGCCGCAATTCACATTCATGCGCAAATGTCACTGTGTCTGTAAGATATTGTTTTCATAAATTTTGTTAATATTAGATATATACGAAATGTAATCCAATGCTTTGTGAAGGGAAAATCTGAAATCAAGGATGTGATTCTACATCTCATTGTGGTCTCAATAGCATCAAAGAGTGATAAAGTGAGTGAGTTAATATTTAACGTCACATCGGCAGTATTTCAGCCATATCGTGACGAGAAGTACATTAATAATTCATATATTTAAACCAAATAAAAACCTGTCAACGATGGGACAGTGAAAAGACTACGTACTAGATTTATCACATATTAAAACTAGTAGATAGCCATAAAAATATAACACCATACTAAATACAATAGAAGATAAAAATGAGCTTTAGATCGCCAGAGAGATCACCATGGTAGGGTCCATGAGAATCGTCCAAATTACAATTAAAGTCAAAACACTAATTTGAGAGGCTTCTGAAATATTTCTGATTGTGGCCGTTGAATGAATGAACCTAGGCTCAAAATATGCAATCCATTTAGTTTTTGTTGTGTTTGTAACTGAAAATAATTCTCAGTATTCTGCTGTTCGTGATCCAATTTAAGGTGTGGTCTCCCCTAATCCTACCATGCATTTAGAAATGCAAAACAGTTTATCGTCACTAAGTTATTTAATATTAATGTGCTGTAGCGAAACCTTATACGTCACATGAGTAGATGTCATAAATATTATTCAAATAATTTTCAAAACAATTATTTCATTTGCCCCCGCTTTTCGAAATGCTCTTTCAAACTCTTTAAATTAGTAGTGTATGGTTTAATTGTATCCCGCACGACCAGGTTTAGACGAAAACTACATTAGATGAAAGTGCTTATATTTATTTTGATAAAGTGTTTAGATAGTACAAAATGAATACCGCTTTATAGGCTTATACTGTTCGGAACTAGTTCTTTTGGAGTGAGATAGTGAGTTGGTTTTACGTCGCTTTTAACAGTATTCCAGTTTTTCGCGGCGTGTCCGCTTAATGTGGGAGGAAAGCCCGAAGTGATGCAGGTCTCAGACGTTTACCACTTCGTTGAAACCCACGAGCACGGGTATGGTGCTTACAAACCTAGAAACATAATCGGGGCGAACCGGGAATCGAACCCACAATCATAGGTTTCGGGTGTAGCAAAGGGACACAACTCTGCACAGCGGCGCCTTAGAAGCTATATGAGCAAATAACGCCGAACGCCGTTTAACCCCACTTCACCCAGCCTCACCTGCTAGATTACTAGATGAATGCAAATAAAGCCAGTGCAATGGTACAAAATATAAGACACAGTTGCATCTTCGTTCACTCTACGGTTTCGGCTGACAACAACCCTACAAACATTGGGAACGTTGCCACTCATGTTTGTCCATTGATCACTCAGAACTCCTCACCACTTCTCTGTTTTCCAGCGTTGCCCTGTTCTTGTTAAAGGGGGCACGGGTGGCCCAGTCGTCTAAGGCGCAGCAATTCGCTGTGCAGAGTTGCGTCCCTTGGACACGCCAGAAACGCATCATTAATTGGTAGAATCCCGGTTCGCCCTGATAATGTTTCTAGGTTTGTAAGCACCATATCTATTTTCTATCGGTTCACAGATTCTTGACTTTGAAGTGACTGAAGAGGATATGAAAGTTGTATCTGATCTCAACCGGGACTTTAGGGCGTGTTCCTTTCTCTTGTGAGTACATCGACGGTCTTTGTTCGAAAATGTAGTCCACAGATGTAATATTGTTATGTGCGATCAAAACAACATATACGCACTTTTTAAATATAGATTCATTTGATACACCAGTAACTGAGCTTTGATATGGTGTATGGGATAATGATAGGTAATGTTTTATTTTCCAGCGTACCCAAACACAAGTATCATCCTTTCAACACTGCATGACAGAGAAGGAAACTCAACATTGAACAAAGTGTAATATGTGCGACGCATTGATAGTTTACAGATAAAATATACTATGTCAGTACTTTGTTGTTTTACATCGCACTCAGCAGTACTTTGTGTATAGCGCCGTGAAGATTCTGGGGTAGAATAGGTCTTCAGCAACCCATGCTTGCCGTAAGAGGCGACTATGCTTGTCGTAAAAGGCGACTTACGGAACAGGTGGTCAGGCTCGCTGACTTGGTTTGATGCATGTCATCGATCCCAATTGCGTGGATCGATTCTCATGACATTAATCATTGGATTGTCTGGTCCAGACTCGATTATTTACAGACCGCCGTCATATAGCTGGAATATTGCTGAGTGCGGCAAACCAACAAACCAGCCAACCAACCAACAACTCTGTGTATAGTATGATTCTATTATTGCGGGCTCTATACTACCACCGCGGGCTCTATACTATCATCCTGGGCTCTATACTACCTTTGCGGGCTCTATACTACCATCGCGGGCTCTATACTACAATACCGGGCTCTATACTACCATCGCGGGCTCTATACTACCATGGCAGGCTCTATACTACCATCGCAGGCTCTATACTACCATCCTGGGCTCTATACTACCATCGCGGGCTCTATACTACCATCCTGGGCTCTATACTACCACCGCAGGCTCTATACTACCATCGCGGGCTCTATACTACAATACCGGGCTCTATACTACCATCGCGGGCTCTATACTACCATGGCAGGCTCTATACTACCATTGCAGGCTCTATACTACCATCCTGGGCTCTATACTACCTTCGCGGGCTCTATACTACCATCGCGGGCTCTATACTACAATACCGGGCTCTTTACTACCATCACGGGCTCTATACTACCATCGCAGGCTCTACACTACCATTGCAGGCTCTATACTACCATCGCGGGCTCTATACTACCATCGCAGGCTCTATACTACCATCGCGGGCTCTATACTACCATCCTGGGCTCTATACTACCATCGCAGGCTCTATACTACCATCATGGGCTCTATACTACCATTGCAGGCTCTATACTACCATCCTTGGCTCTATACTACCATTGCGGGCTCTATACTACCGTGGCAGGCTCTATACTACCATTGCAGGCTCTATACTACCATCGCAGGCTCTATACTACCATCGCGGGCTCTATACTACCATTGCAGGCTCTATACTACCAGTGCTGGCTCTAAACTACCATCGTGGGCTCTAAACTACCATCGCGGGCTCTATACTACCATCACAGGGTCTATATTACCAGCACGGTCTCTATACTACCATCGCAAGCTCTATACTACCAGTGCCGGCTCTAAACTACCATCACAGGCTCTATACTACCATCGCAGGCTCTAAACTACCATGGCAGTCCCAAAACTACCATCGTGGGCTCTATACTACCATCACGGGCTGTAAACTACCATCACAGGCTCTAAACTAACATCGCGGGCTCTATACTTCCATTGCGGGCTCTATACTTCCATCGCGGGCTCTATACTACCATTGTGGGCTCTAAACTACCATCGCGGGCCCAGAACTACCATCATGGGCTCTTTACTACCATCGCGGGTCTAAACTACCATCGCGGGCTCTATACTACCATCGCGGCCAGTAAACTACCATCGCAGGCTCTAAACTAACATCTCGGGCTCTATACTACCATCGTGGGCTCTTTACTATCATCGCAGGTCTAAACTACCATCGTGGGCTCTATACTACCATCGCAGACTCTGAACTACCATCGCGGGCTCTATACTACCATCGCAGGCTCTAAACTACCATCGCGGGCTCTAAACTACCATCGCGGGCTCTATACTACCATAGCGGACTCTGAACTACCATCGCGGGCTCTATACCATCGCGGTATGGGGAAATCTCGTAACCCCCACCCCATGTCAACTGTTCACACATGCAAATCGGAGCATGATACTTACCGAAAACAGGACCAGTTACGGTATGTCCCGGCTACTCGTATGTATACACGTTAACGTTTTTATGACAGTTTCTGGAAAGTTTTTGAAGTGGAATTACCTCCATTCGAAATTGGTCAGAAAAGAACCATTTTGTTTGGATGATGTCCCTTGACCCAAATTAGGTTGTTTGTGTCCTGATTATGCATAATTATTAACCAAACGTGACATAATGCACATATTCCACAAGTATCACTTAACAAGATTTGGTTTAGTTTGATTTGCCTGCCTGCGATGGTAGTATAGAGCCCGCGGTGGTAGTGTAGAGCCCGCAATAATAGAATCATACTATACACAGAGTTGTTGGTTGGTTGGCTGGTTTGTTGGTTTGCCGCACTCAGCAATATTCCAGCTATATGACGGCGGTCTGTAAATAAACGAGTCTGGACCAGACAATCCAGTGATTAATATCATGAGCATCGATCCATGCAATTGGGATGCGATGGCATGCATCAACAAAGTCAGCGACCCTGATCACACGATCTCGTCAGTTGCCTGTTCAGACTCTCCAGCCTGGACTGCTGAAAATTGATTCTAACCCGGATCTTAACGGGTCCTAATTCTATGATCAAAACAGTAATTCATAAATGGGTCTATCTTATATTGTTTACGCGATGATAAAAAGTTTACCGTAGTACTTAACAATATACTATGGACCAATTTGTAATTCCTGTTTTGCTAATCAAAAATGAGAATATCAACTTAAAACATGATATTTTATTAACTTAAAACGTTCATAAAATCGCCAGTTTAGTTGTTTAAAGCAAAATTATTAATGTAGAATCGACGATTCATTATTGTTAAAAATCAGGTTTCAGTTTTCTCCAATACATATTTACACAGGTACAATCAGTATATTCATGAATGTCCATAGAGATATACATAAGTATAAGTGTGTAATCCACGTACCTGTGCTGGGGTCTTCAGTTGCCGCCTCCAAGGCATAGATGGTCCGACCCTGGCACTCAGGAACAAGAGATTGGATGGCGGCAGCTGCATCAGCATCAACTTCCTCAGCAACCTCAGTCAAAGTAGTCTCATAATTTGATGTAATTTAATATATATGTCTTTCTTATTAAATGATCGATGAAATGACTAGTTATATAATTGGAAACAAGATATCATTGAGCATATAACTTACCCCGTCTGACATCGGGGTCAGGCCTTGTATGTAGCAGGACGTGGTTTAGTTTGATTTGTTGTTTAACGCCGCTAACAGCATTATTCCAGTTATATGACGGCGGTCTGTAAATAAACGAGTCTGGACCAGACAATCCAGTGATTAATATCATGAGCATCGATCCATGCAATTGGGATGCGATGGCATGCATCAACAAAGTCAGCGACCCTGATCACACGATCTCGTCAGTTGCCTGTTCAGACTCTCCAGCCTGGACTGCTGAAAATTGATTCTAACCCGGATCTTAACGGGTCCTAATTCTATGATCAAAACAGTAATTCATAAATGGGTCTATCTTATATTGTTTACGCGATGATAAAAAGTTTACCGTAGTACTTAACAATATACTATGGACCAATTTGTAATTCCTGTTTTGCTCATCAAAAATGAGAATATCAACTTAAAACATGATATTTTATTAACTTAAAACGTTCATAAAATCGCCAGTTTAGTTGTTTAAAGCAAAATTATTAATGTAGAATCGACGATTCATTATTGTTAAAAATCAGGTTTCAGTTTTCTCCAATACATATTTACACAGGTACAATCAGTATATTCATGAATGTCCATAGAGATATACATAAGTATAAGTGTGTAATCCACGTACCTGTGCTGGGGTCTTCAGTTGCCGCCTCCAAGGCATAGATGGTCCGACCCTGGCACTCAGGAACAAGAGCTTGGATGGCGGCAGCTGCATCAGCATCAACTTCCTCAGCAACCTCAGTCAAAGTAGTCTCATAATTTGATGTAATTTAATATATATGTCTTTCTTACTAAATAATCGATGAAATGACTGGTTATATAATTGGAAACAAGATATCATTGAGCATATAACTTACCCCGTCTGGCATCGGGGTCAGGCCTTCTATGTAGCAGGACGTGGTGGCGGCTCCTATCTGGCCCTATCTAAGAGTATTAAATGTCACATGAAATTGGATAGAAAACAGGTGATGTATTGGTTGTTATTGGTTTGTTGGTTTGGTTGCATGGGTCTCTTTCTATTTCTAATGGTATATTTGACCATTGTTGAACGATATCAGATCAACAGTGTAGCTTAAATTAGACTTCCTTGCAAAATTCCTGTGTTTTTATCACCCCGACATATAATAACGGGGGGATATAGCCATCAGTATGTCCGTCCGTCCGTCTCTCTGTCTGTCCGTCTGTAATCATTGTTTTTCCGGAGCATATTTCCTAAATCGTACAACCTAGCTTCACAAAACTTGGTACACTTACCAATCAGGCTCAGTAGTCGTGCCTTTTGCTATTTAGAGATTTTTAGAATTTTTTATTTTTGTCGTTTCCATGGAAATATTATACACTTAGGAAATTTGAGGGTACTGCTCTTGTCCAGAGCATATTTTCTAAACCGTACAACCTAGCTTCGCAAAACTTGGTACGTATACACATAACAAGCAGGCTCAGTAGAAGTGCCTTTTGCTATTTAGAGATTTTTAGAATTTTATATTTTTGTCGTTTCCATGAAAATTTGATGAACTTAGGAACCTTGAGGGTAGTGCTCTTTTCCGGACCATATATCCCGAACCATACAACTTAGCTTCTCAAAAGTTTTTACACCTATCAAGCAGGTTATGTAGTGGTGCCTTTCCTATTAACATGGTTTAGAAGATATGCTCCCTGATGCATTGTCCCAATTGCGTGGATCGATGCTCATGATATCAATCACTGGATTGTCTGGTCCATGACTCGATTATTTGCAGACCGCTGCTGAGGGCGGCGTTAAACAACAAACCAACCAGCCAACTCATGTATGGTAGCCAGACTTCTGATGACAGCCGGCTGTTGGGCGGACAAACCAATCTTCTCTTTTGGTCCATTTGTTAGCATATGCTTCGACAGCATCCATAATTATTTTAAATTTATGAAGCAATTGATAGGAGGCTGCTCACGATATTTTGGTGAGAAATAAATAATCATACATGCGTAGGCGATAAGCAGGATGTTTCTGAAAAGTTTTTTTACGTAAAGCTTGTTTGAGGTGATCCAATCAGGTTTGTTGCTTGGAAAAATATCATAAATTTAGTTAACCACTAAGCATATGATTGGTGATTTCAGAAAAGGGTGTGTAGGTACGTTTTGATCGTTGAGTATATAAACGACATCAGAGCTCAAGTGGTCATAAAAGCGGGTTGGCAAGCTGATTCAACGACAACAAGCTAAGAAGAGATCCTCCAGAGTCTAACGCCACAATGACCAAGGTAGGCTTCATGAAATCATGTATGTATCAAAACATGTAGATTAAACCGAAATATTTTTACTATGTATGTATGTATGTATGTATGTATGTATGTATGTATGTATGTTAAACGGTTCACCTGAACAAACACCAGCCCCAGAGAAGTTCCTCCATGATTGGGGGGCACGGGGGGCCCTGGTTCGCATTGCAGAGTTGCGTCCCTTGGGCACGCCAGCAACCTATGATTGTGGGTTCGAATCCCGATTCGATTATGTTTCTAGGTTTGTCAGCACCATACCCGTGTTCGTGGGTTTCACCGAAGTGGTCAACGTCTGAGACCTGCATCACTCCAGGCTTTCGTCCCACATTAACCTGACACGCCGTGGTATAACTGTAATACTGTTAAAAGCGGCGTGAAACCCAACTCTCTCACTCCTCCAAAATTGCGTTGAGGATGGTTAACGTTTGGGACAGGGATTTTGTCGTACATTGCTGGAGCCAGCAATTTTTCTGTTTGTACAGATTTTTATGGAGCTTTGAATTCTAGTACAAAAGAAATATGGACATGTCAAATTGAAAAGTACCGATGCGTGGTTTTGAACATATTCTTTAAACGTTTGCCTTGCTTATAAGTTGCAAAACCTCTGTACTTTTGCGTATCAGACTCAATGGAAAGTAAGCATTGTTTTCAGTTCCAGCCACATTAGTAAATGCGCTGGCGTGTCACTGGATCACTTGATTGTTTCTTGTTTACGGGCCGCCGCCGTTTCCCTTTGGTCCCGTTTCGCGAACACCTGGTGTTATTCCTAATTTTGAGTGATATAGTTAAAACTGGCATTTCTCTGGCGTTGACTTTGTATATCTCTCTGTTAAGTCTGAGCAAACCTGGCTCAAGCAACGTGTCTCTCCCCGAAAATAAAATAATCAAGAACACACCGTTGTAGTCAAGAGAGTAGCAGGACAGAGACATGGATCGCGGATTATGCCTTCGTCAGCAGTCATATAATACAAGAGACCAATGATGTTACCATTTTTCAATTTTTTTCTCGTTTCCCTTTTTTTTGCAGATTCTGATGCTGTCTGTTTTAGTTGCAATTTTCTTCCGTGCATGTATGTGTGACCCCGGTGGGCAAAACGTAAGTATAATTTATTTTATTTTGTTGTGAGATTCATTTTTCGACGAGTTATGCTCTCGTTCATAACTGTAGACTCTGCATGGATATTTTTATCGTGTTGACAAATAATTTATTCTTTAAAAATTTCGCAACTAGATTTAAACCGGATTTGTGATAGTCCAGTAATTATATTGTCCATCATTGACATGCTCGTCAACGTGATGCTTCAGGTGAATGTTTTCTGCCTTTTAGGAGTGCACTGTGGTACAACTTGAAGAGACAATAGAAGCGACGACATGCGGTGGAACCACAACCATCAGATATACCAACGGAACACTCATTCAGACACAGTTTTTCACAAACAAGGTATATTCTGTACAGCTTGTCAAATAACAGAGACAAGTGTAGCAGTAACTTACAGAAACAGACAAAAATCTTCATCAATTCTGTTTATCTTTATATGTTTCTGTTGCAATTGACACAAGTTTTTGGAAATTAGGGGGCACGCTTCCCATACTACATGTCAGATGAATGAAAAACAATGAATGCAGTTTTAACATTTTTATCCATGTCCGGGGCCGACTATTGATAATCTGTGGTGGGCGACGGGAGGGTGATTTAGGCCTGGAATTTTAACGGAAAAAATAAATTGTTCCAGAAAATGCTTGAAAAAATAATTCTATTCTAAAAGAAATTGCATCGTTTCATTGTGAATTTACCCAAATCATATTTAGGCTCATAACTTTGATTAAAATAATAATTATAATTAATAATAATAACAATAACAATATCCGGTTTTGTTACTAGCTGGTCGGTAAGGCCCATACTTGGCGCAAACACACACAGACACACAGACACAAACACACAAACATACCACTGGATTTACATCGTATCCCAATTGCGTAGATCGATGGTCATGATGTCAATCACTTGATTGCCTAGACCAGACTCGATTATTTACAGACCGCCGTCACATTAGTAGAATATTACTTTGTGCGGCCAAACAAACAAACGAACAAACCAACATTTACTGATTTTGCAAAACTCATATCCTTTCCCTGCTGAATAAGGCACCGATTTCCTTATCTAATATAACCTTTAATACTCTTAGACGATGACTGTGACCCAGGAAGGAGAAGACACCACCTCCTGCTACGTGCAACCCCTGACCCCGATGCCGAAAGAGGTAAGTTAAATACTCAATGATATCCTGTTTCCATTAATATAACCAGTCACTTGTCGTAAGAGTCGACTAACGGGATCGGTCGGTCAGGCTCGCTGGCTTGGTTGATGCATGTCATCGATCTCAATTGCGTGGATCGATGTTCATGATGTCAATCACTGGTTGTCTGGTCCAGACTCGATTATATACAGACCGCCGTCATATAGCTGGAATGTTGCTGAGTGCGGCGTTAAACAACAAACAAACCATCCAACCAACCAACCTCTTACGACAAGCATAGTCGCCTTTTACGGCAAACATTTAATAAGAAATATATAATATTAAATGATTTTAAATTATCTTTTTAATATTAGATTGATTATGCTGAGACCACTTTGACTGAGTTTGCTGAGGAAGTTGATGCTGATGCAGTAGCCGCCATCCAAGCTCTAGTTCCTGAGTGCCAGGGTCGGACCATCTATGCCTTGGTGGCGGCAACTGAAGACCCCAGCACAGGTACGTGGATTACACACTTATACTTATGTATATCTAATTGCACATCTAATGGTTCCCCGGGGAGGGGTCGCGGGGTGTGTGTGGGTGTGTGTGTGTGTGTGTGTGTGGGGGGGGGGGGGGAGCTCCACATTGTTTTCTTGTTTCTTGAATATTAAATGTAAGCCTTGCACACACTGGCACTTAAAGGCACAGTATTCTTGAACAATTCAAACCCACTTTGATATACTTCTGCTACAAGATTGGTTGGTTGGTTGGTTGGTTGTTTTACGCCGCACTCAGTAATATTCCAGCTATATGACGGCGGTCTGTAAATAATCGAGTCTGGACCAGACGATACAGCGATTGAGAATATCATCATGAGTATCGATCCACGCAATTGGGATCGATGACATGCATCAACCAAGTCAGCGAGCCTGATCACCCGTACCCGTTAGTCACCTCTTACGATAAGCATAGTCGCCTTTTACGGCAAGCATTGGTTGCTCATGAAGACGTATTCTACCCCGAATCCTCACGGGTCTGCTACAAGAACCTGTTCAGGGAAACATTATTGGCAAACAGAACTAGTCGTGCTAAAACAGATGGAAATAGTTAATCGCGGACCAAATATGTTTTCAATACCTCCGATTTCAGTGTCATTCATGAATGAATTTCGTTTGCAGGAAGAAGAAAGAGAACTTGCGATTGGCGTCGCAAATGTGTCGAGGTTTATAGTAGAGACGAAGGGTGGAACACTTACTGTCGAATGGTACAAGTGTGTAGAGCTACCCTTAATGTTGTAGATAAATAAGTCACATAAAAAACAACGACATCACGTCGAAGGTGGAATGTCTTGAATATGATCAACATGATATTATGCTCTAGGTTTGGTCCATTCAATAACTCAAATATAAAAATAGAACGACACTGAAATACACAATTTCACACCTGCAAGTAATTATTATATATTTAAATTTGCATGTAGTTTGTATCCTTGTAAAATAACGAGCATATATATTGGACTCTTTAGGAATATGTTCAGTATTATGAAATACAAAACATAATTATTTTGTTTATAGTATATGAAATTGGCCTATATAACAATGTGAAATTAAGAAGAATGCATGTACTGGTATTGCAAATCTGATTATAACTGAATAAAATATTCACCATCGACTTTAAGTATTTCTGTCGTTCCTTCAAACCTTACTTAAATGGTATTGCGATTGTTAAATCTACAAGTTTTCCATCTCAAGTGAATACTCACACAAGGGGCTGCTTTTTAAAACAAAAAACAAAGCCAAACACAAAGGGAGAGCCTGTGGTCTGGAACTTGCTTTGTAGAGTTGCGGCCCTTAGTTGTTCAATGATTGTGAGTTATGAGTTGGAATCCCAAATTATGAGCCTTGTTGGATGTTATAAACATCTCTTTCCTCCAATCCTAAGCTGACACGTTTTGATATGACAGTTCAGATGACAAAGCTGTTTTCAGGGTTCATTCATCGGTTCGTATCAAGAAATTGTCGCTTTGTCTACAAAACTGATGTCGATACCAAGAGAGAGAGACGACTGAACAAACACAATCACACGTTGCATATGCAAGAGATATGTCTTCAAGAGAGTGTTGCCTTAACTTTAACACTCCTTCACAGCACAAACGTTTTAATGAACAGTGACACAAAGGCAACTGGGCAACATGGGAGCAGTTAAAATGCCACTAGCAAATGGTGAACATCCGGGTTAGGCTTTGGCCCTCGTCACAAACACATTTAAAGGCAAATTAATTGTCTTCAGCAACCCATGCTTGCCGTAAAACATGACTATGATTGTCGTAAAAGGCGACTAACGGGATCGGGTGGTCAGGCTCGCTGACTTGGATGATGCATGTCATCGATCCCAATTGTTTGATTTCGATTTTCGATCCCGATTTCGTAACGCGATTTTGATTGGACCATGTATAGACTCGTGAGTCCTGCCAAAATGTACCAACCTAGCTAGTTCGGCAAGGATGGAAACTGGACTTTTACAGTCAGTTAACTCCCTTGCCTCGGGAAGGTGTACTTCTGAAGGCGACCATGCTTGTCGTAAGATGCGACTAACGGGATCGGGTGGTCAGGCTCGCTGACTTGGTTGATGCACGTCATCGTATCCCAATTGCGTGGGTCGATGGTCACGATATCAATCTCTGGATTGTCTGGTCCAAACTCGATTATTTACAGACCGCCGTCATATATCTGGAATATTGCTGAGTGCGGTGTTAAATAACATACAAACAAACAAACAACTTTTGCACTTGGAACGATTCATTTGGACTTTGCACTGAGGAAGCTGGCACGTTTATATTTGTGGTGACATCATCTTTGGTACAAATCATTAGATTTTACTGTCAATATTGTGTCCTCGGGAACTATTTGAGTATCAACACTGACTGTTTGTCCTGTTGACAAATCGAAACAGATAACTGCACTTTCCGGTAAGCTACAGTGCTTCTGGCAATAGTTTGGACAATTTGGGGTAACACTATGTCCATGGTCCTCACGGTTAGTGACAACTACTCGTTTAGTAAGGAGTGAAGTTGTTCCTTAAGACTAAAACATTAAAAAATCAAGTGTGTTGACATTACTCAACTTGCTTCTTTGACGAGACTGCAAAACTTCTAGCAAATCCTTTGGGTTTTGAGAATATACATGTTATTAATACCACTTGTCTCAAGTAATTGAAATTATAAGTGTAGATATACAGAAAGCCCTTTCCCGATTTCTATTAAGGACAATTGTTAATCTTAGAGACAGAGAATTGGTGGTGCATTGGACCCTGCAATGCCTTGCTCTTTGTGTGAATATCTATGGAGCTTTAGAGACCCGTGAAGATCCGGGGTAGAATTCGTCTTCAGCAACCCATACTTGCCTTAAAAGGTGACTATGCTTGTCGTAAAAGGCGACTAACGGGATCAGGTGGTCAGGCTCGCTGACTTGGTTGATACATGTCTTCGATCCCAATTGCGTGGATCGATGCTCATGATATTAATCACTGGATTATCTGGTCCAGACTCGATTGTTTACAGACCGCCGTCATATAGCTGGACTATTGCTGAGTGCGGCTTTTAACAACAAAAACCAACCAACCAACGTAAAATCCTGAAGGTGCTGGCCGTACCCCCATGTCCATGCAGTCTTAGTTTTTGCGGGTACTCCATCACAATAGAGGCTGTGACCTCTTGAATGGCTGTGGAATAAATCTTGTTCCGAGGAGTTATAGGTACTCTGGCATCTGTATGACATGTGCTGGGTCTTTCCTGTGTCTGTGCTTGTGTGTTCTGGTTTTACCTTCCTATCTGTCACTTTCAGGCATTGCAAATATTATCACATTGTTACTGATTACTATCCTGTTCTCAAGTTGACCAATGTATTCCCAGGTCCTTCTGTGCTAACTACCCCACATCTCGCCTCACCACATTCAACTCTTTCTTATTTACACTTAGTCTGTCAAATTAGCAATGACATCTTCAATGCACATCATCTCACTTTTCAGGGATTTGATCGCAGCAAAAACTCTTTGCATTAAAAGATTTATTTGTTAATCATTGCTGTCTTTCCCTCTGCCAAAGCAATATTCGTGGGTCCAGGGTTTAACTGTAAGTCGCTTGCTTGTAAGAGCACTGATTTTAAGTGTGGGTCGGAAAATAGACAGCTAATGTCCATATTTGGACCTGTAATAAAGGTACCCAACTCCATGAAATGTTCATAAAACTCACTTTCTGCACACACTGGAGTATTTTCGTCGGACTATATTTATTGAGTTCGGCGTTAAACAAACAAACAAACAAACAAACACTGTATTTATGTGTACTAGAATCATGTATTAACATGCCCAGTGACATTCGAGTGTACCATCTAATCAACCATTAAAATTATCTGGCTTTGCGTTGTGGAATTTGGTTTGGTTTGGTTGGTTTGTTTGGCACTCCGCAATATTCCAGCTATATGACGGCGGTCTGTAAACAATCCAGAGAATAATATGAGCATCGATTCACGCAATTGGGATCGATGACATGCATCAACCAAGTGACCGAGCCTGACCACCCGATCCCGTTAGTCCGCTCTTAAGACAAGCATAGTCGCATGGGTTGCTGAAGACCTATTTTACCCCGGATCTTCACGGCTCGCGTTATGGCATTGATGATTCTGTAATCCAGGTGGCTGGATACTGACACAAACTCTATCAGGGTTCTTGGTAAAAACAGTGTGGGGAAGAACAAGACAAATACTGAAGCTCAGAAGGAGTAATACGTTTAATAAATAAAGACGGTAGTGCACTGCTGTATACAAAACCTGAAAGGTAGGTATATAATCAATAACCCAAGAAAGACGCAAATCTTACGTAAGAAGGGAAAAATGCGCTACAAGCCAGCTAATGGAATTACGTGCATACATGTATGTCTGTCGAAATAACAGCCAAAGTGCGCTATGATATAAAGAAAGCACTTATTATTTCGACTTGTTCCGTTACATGTGCAGCTGTATAACACAAGGTGACCGAGTCCTGATCAAGTCAATGTTCGCAGCGCTACGACCTTCTTAATCCTTTGATAAATTATAGAGACAGGTCGCAAGGCAGCAAACTCTTCTTTTTTTTGGGGGGGGGGGGGGGGGTCGGAACCATGGTGTTTATAAAAGGTGAATATATAATATAATAGAACAGTTGATATATGTTTCCATTTTGTCACGATCTGAAATGTTTCCTTACATTATTTGCATAAATATATTTGACAGACTCTCATCATTTAGCATATATTTCTCTGTTCAAAAGTCAAGGAACTTCAACAATATTCAGCTGACCTTTCACTTAAAAAAATACAATTTGAATACATACATTTACTGATCAGGACGACAAGAGTTAGTATTGCTACAGTTCGCCAAAACATAATTATTGCTTGCCATATCTCCAATCTACACAAACTAATAATGCTAACAAAACACAATGTTTTAGGAAATGATAACCTCCACACCTGAGACGGCAACAATGTAGTTGCATTGTGACAATAATATTTTTAAAGGTAGTCTTCTTTCTCTACAGCAAAACGTTCCTCATCAGTCTCGATGCCTTCATACTTGGCGATTTCCGCATCTCTCTTGCTCTTGACGAACCATGTCACCAGTTCCTTTCCTAAGGCATTGCACAAATCCTCATCACGTTCCAGTTCTCGCAGAGCTTCAGCCAGGGAACAGGGGAGCGATTCAGCATCATCTTGTTTACCCGGGACTGGGCACTCCATTTTCTTTTCAACGCCATCCAATCCAGCAGCAATGGTAGATGCCATCACAAGATAGATGTTGCTCTTTCCTCTTGGAAGTCTGTTCTCGATGTATGTTTTGTATGGATCTTCGTTCTTGATGCGGAGACATGATTGTCGATCTTCTATTCCCCAGTTGGCAGTCATGGGTTTAAAAGGATTGATGAAGTTCCTGTAGCAGTTGATCGTTGGGTTTGTGAAAGCAGAGAGAGCTTTACTGTGCTTAAGGATACCTGCAATCCACTGTTTAGCAATGACAGAGAGTTTGTCCGGAGCACCCGCTTCATAAAACACGTTTTCTCCAGATTTGTTCCAGAGGGAAAAATTGAAATGTGTCGCTATTCCCATTTTATCTTTAGAGGACAAATAAGACATGAAGGTTGCTCTAAGACCTTTCTGATCCGCCATTTCCAGGAGACCTTCCTGCAAATTAAAAGCCTCATCGGCGCTCTCAATTCCATATTTTGGTTTCGTCACAGCTTCAAAAAAACCTGGCCCTAGCTCAACATGGAATCTTTCAACATCAATATCAGATTCTTGAAAGTTTTTATCAAAGTGAAATATAACTTCGCTGTTCTTGTTCAATAACCTTTGGCTTAAGTATGAATTGTAATTAAAAACTGGCTCCAAGGTATTTTTTTCAAGGAGTTGAAACTCAATTTCATTGCCAGAATAGAAACTTAATCCAAGATCATCCAACCTCTGCAGCTGTTTTCTTGCTGAGTACCGAGGACAGGCTTCTTGCGGAGAGTTGTCTTTCTTCCATCGAGACTCGCACAGCATCTCAGCAACCTTCACCCCTTCTGGTGCCCAGGGAATGGACCTCAGTGTGGCAGGGTCAGGAACAATCAATACATTGCCAAAGTTAAAGTTCTCCTCGTGC